ATGAATAGAAGATGTAAGGTAACATTCGGCAGAGACCACGCCTGCATGGCCGAGCCATGCCGTTCGATCAACTCTAATTCATTCAGTTCATTATTCGCGCCTTCTCCATCGTTAGGTATTTCTTCGCGTTAAATATTGAATACCTATTTTCCGAGTAATCTCGTATTCAGCTTTGAGGATAGTGTGGTTATGGTCCAATGCCACTACAAGATCACGGCACCATTAAAGTGGCAAGTCTGACTCTGAACTTAACGAATCCTGCAAATGTCGTTATGGTCTGCTGTGTTAACTGTGGTGTACTACGATTAATCGGACATCTTGCTGCTACATCTCAGCCAGCAGTGTATCAGTTCACATGTTCCTAACTAGTGTGCCGTTGCCTCGACGGCTCGTGTGGTTAAGATAATATTCGTGTACAGCGTGACCTCACCAGCACTATACTTTAGTCTGCCAGCTCTGCGAAGTAAGAAATCAAGCTGTTGAAATTCACTACCATACACTTCTGACGTTACCCATACTCCTAAGATGACAATGACATCCTGGTTTCTGTGTCCATTACTGTTTTGAGCTTTGTCATTTTATTTTGTGGGTTGCAAGCAGTTGTGTATTACAACTTTAATTCTGTGAAGAACCTTCGCATCCCACTCAGAGTGGTTAACTCCGAACCTTTACAATGTAAAAAACCTTGAGTACGAGGATTTTTTATTGTTCTGGTGGTGCTCATTTATTTCTACCTCTACTGATCGTCTGTTAATGCGATCAATCAGGCTGAGATCCGCACAAACACATATTCTGCGACCGGTTAGTTTGCATGAATTTTTTAGTGATAAGTTTCTGTCTTCAGCAGAAGCAAAAGTAACTTTTAAGAGGCTTCATTTAAAAATCAACATTTTCTCTTATTCTATAAAGTTTATAAATGCTAACTCAGATGGTTTAAATACAGTCATTGTTTTCTTTTCTGAAGTTTCTCTTCACTTACGTAAAATGACTGACCTGCCGGAGAGGTCCGGCCTGATAAGTTGTTAGGATTTGTCTACCAAAATCTCATTCCCGTAGTCCGATTCGGTGTTAGACGCAAAGGTCTCTTTTTGCTTCCCTACTTTTCCGATAACTTTGTCAAAAACTTGTGAGAGATCACTCATTTCTTTGCTCTCACTTCTTGTCGTTTCGGTACGGTTCCATAAATTCGGTTATGTTTGATGGCTGACAGTTTTATCAAGTTATGGTGTACTTTGTTATTAGTACCTCTCTGACAGTAGACCTAATCCCAAAATTTTAGACTTATCACAATGTGACTACCTATTCTATAAGATCTTACGTGGAAGTCACATAATTTTCTACACTGAATCGCTCTATCGTAATCAGCACTAATGTATGAGGGAGAACACATTTGAGCTGGTGATAGAACGATGTATTTAACACGAATAAAAGAGATAGGTAACAAAATAATGACCATGCTTGCAAGGCTGAGCCATGCCATCCAATTAATTCGATTTCAAATGAATGATCTCGCATCCACCACTATTGAGCTTCTTTTGGTGTTACATGTTGAAAGTCTATTTTCCCCATTATCTCATATTCAGCCTTGAGGGTCGTGGTTAGGATCCAGTGTCACTACAGTCTAACCACATGACTGCACTAATTCTAGTTTTTATGATCGTTATTTGTGGATTTGCATGTTTTGTATGTCTCTGTGTCAGGGTCATAAGATAGAAACGATTTTTAATTCAAAACTATCGACTGACTTATTGGTTAGATGAATTCCTTTAATTGGGCGGTTTCATTTAATCAAAAACTAATCTAGCTGAGACTTTATACTCATCTTATGGAGGAATTTACTCCAACGGCAATTCCATTCAACTGATTGAGTTACTCATTACAGAGCGGTAGAGTTTCTGAGTATCAGTAGATATCACATCATCTGTCGAGAGGTTGGTTGGTTTCAGTGTGAATATTTTAAAGCGGTAATTCGAGCGCTTAGAGAGGACTGTGATTTCAAGAATAAAAATATGGTAATGTATCAGAAGACGAAGTTGGATAAAAAATAAGGTAAACGGAGATAATAACGAGAGATATGGGAATTAGATACTGATGTGTGGTACTGATGACCGTGGTCGTTTATAACATGCATTAAACATAGCTGTCCCAAGAGGGAGATGTTAATCCATAGGGAAATATGCGTTTGTCAGGTATTTCCTCGAGAGTTAGCTCGAAGAGCATTAAAGTTTACTTCCTCTCCGCTGTTTTGTGTGCCCTATCGTATCGGTTGTGTCATCACTTGCAAGCTCGCTTCTTCATCCGTTATATCGGGAAATGTCTGTATTTAAGTAGGGATTTGATTGTTAGGTCCAAATGAAGGCGTATGTCCCTGGTTTCTGCTAGTTTACTCTTTAGTTATATTGCGTTGCTATAATGACACTTGATGATTTGTATCATCACCCGTTGCTCCTCTTCAGAAACGTCAGTTTTAAGTTTTTAAATTGAACTCGTTGAATGCATCAATCATATCAATTGTAGAGTTAACAGAATCGATTGTTATTGATGAAACTTTGAAGTCAAATCAGGCCATCACAAAATCTCAGCTTGTCACCCTGGTTGTAAGCTCGTCTCAAGAGCTAGATATTGTCTCAAAAACGTGATGATGAAAAAGACACTCGTTGAGGGAAGCCATCTACATAAAATTAGAAAGCTCAGGGGTCCTAGATCTGAACACTAGGAGATCACATAAAGACATCCCGTAGCCCTAAAACACGGAAGCTATACTTGACTTAAGAATGGGTTATTTGAGTATGATTTATGTTAGTCTATTCGTGCTGACTTGATGTTTGTTAGTTTGAACTTGTTAGCAAATGCTACAAAAGGGATAAATTGTGAAAATAAAAATGTTCGGTCTATTTTACCGATGATTTCCGCGCATATTTTTATTTTATATTTATTAGACACTTGGGTTACTGTACTCTCGCATTATTCTAATTAATAGTTTACCTTTAGGGCGTAAAACATTTTTGAGGGTTTTTATTCCCATCAGCTAACGTTATTCAATCAATGACCTATTAATTAGTCCTTGCTCATCTGGGTGGTTTTTATGGTCTTGTTGTAATTTCCTATTAATGTTAATGTGCTACGTACGTATAAAGTACTACCACCAGTCATTATGGTTTTCCGCCGTTGTGAAACGAAAAAACTACAGGTTATTGTCACTTCCACGTTAGTCATTTGATATGCTTGTGTTTCCTTAGTTAAACAGTATTTTAATTCTTTTAGACAGGTGTTATATCTCTTTCCAACTACAAATCCCCTAGTAAAACTGAGGTACTTACCCAAAACAGAAACCACTTAAATGTCTGGCTGTTTTCACTCAGGAACCTCCTCTAGAGAAAGAACCAGACCCAAATACAGAGTCATCAAACCAGCTGCTCACCGTGGACTTCGATCAAGACGATGTGCTTAAGGCTCTTAGCACCCTAAATATGGAAAAGTCAACAGGACCAGATGAACTACACCCCAAAATCTTGAGACATATTGCCCAGTATATCGCTGCCCCACTGACTGTGATATTCAATATGTCACTTGACCAAGGTGTGTTACCTATGGACTGGAAGGACGCAATCGTCACTCCCATACATAAAACAGGTCCACGACAAGTTCCATCGAATTACAGACCCGTAAGCCTCACCAGTGTTGTAATTAAGATACTGGAAAGAATAATCAAACGGACTATAATGGTATTATGGAAACCAATAACTTGCTGAACATGGCACAACATGGTTTTAGAAAGGGTCTATCCTGTACAGCGAACCTTCTTATAGCTAGGGAGTTCTGGATTAATGCACTAGACAACGGAAACTCAGTGGATGTTGTCTACATAGATTTCAGTAAAGCTTTTGACAAGGTGCCAACTAATAGACTGCTATTGAAGTTGGAAAACCTTGGCATTGCCGGACCTCTTTTAAAATGGATTAAAGATTTCCTAGTAGGTCGAAGATAAAAAGTAAGAATAAATTCCAAGTGTTTCATCTGGAGACCGATACTTATTGGAGTACCACAAGGTTCCGTCCTAGGTCCTTTACTTTTTATAATGTACGTAAATGATATTACAAGTATAGTACAGTCTCCAATGTTATTATACGCTGACGATGTAAAAATTTGGCGAGTAATAACTAGAGACAAACACGCATTTACTCTTCAGGCAGATTTAAATAATATGATAAACTGGTCTAAAGAGTGGCTGATGCCTATCAACGCGGAAAAGTGTGTCTACATGCACTTGGGGGATTCAAAGGTTAATAAGTACAACATAGGGGGTGTGTCATTACCCGTAGTCCGGTCTCATAAGGATCTAGGGGTGACAGTGAGTAATGATCTTAAGACGACGGCCCATTGCCGGGAGGTCGCAGCCAAGGGGTTTCGAACCCTCTGGGCTTTAAAAAGGACATTCACTTAGTTAGATACTGCCATGTTCACCACAGTATACACATCTTTGGTGTGAACTAAGCTAGAGAACTGCTCTCAGGCTGCAAGCCCCTGTTTAAAATGTGACTCGGACGTACTAGAAAAAGTACAGAGGGCAGCTACCCATGCAATTCCGGGACTCTGGGGTTTATCATACAAAGATCGGCTTGAAAAACTGAACCTCTTTACTCTGTCCTACCGCAGACTAAGGGGAGATCTAATTTTGATGTACAGAATACTGAAAACTGATTTCGGACCTAACTTATTCTCTCTTTCTTCCCACTAGATCGGGACACCTTAGAGGACATAGCAGGCGAGTAGAAAAGCCAAGAACGAACAAAATACCCGTGGCATACAGGTTTTCACACCGCATCATCAATACTTGGAACCTGCTGCCTGAAGCAGTAGTGTCCGCACCTTCAATTGACTCTTTCAAGAGAAGACTGGACACTCACAGAAGCATACTGGAAAAGGAATAAAATAGGCCGTAGGCCTTCTGTCCTTAATACACAAATCTGAATCTGAATCTGTTCTCAGTTTACAAGTTTGAAGGATCGAACTTTCAAGGACATACAGAAAGAGATGCGCTAGGTATGAGGGTTTTCACTACGTTGGGGATTTGGCCTACTCCATTAAAAGAAAGTACTAATTCTTTATGGATCCCTGGATTTTTAAATCTCAAACCGGCTCTGAGTGTACGGTTTGTCTCTGTGGATCTCAAAGGAGATGATGATAAGGTTGGACGTATTATGATTATTTATATTTTCAAAGCCAGTTGACATTCCGGATCCGTATCATAGGACAAAAAAGAAATGTTTTATTTGTGAAAAAAACATTCCTTTAGACTACAAGGTATGAATGCCGCTTCTTTGTGATAAATTGTAGAATGTTCGTTTATTATCACAATTCGTTTCTCCATACACTGGCCGTATCTACGGGCGACACATTACAGGAATGTGTATTCCAATGCAGAAAAGAATATCCAAGTTAATTATAAGGTCTAGACAATTCGGTAAGGTCTGTTCTCGTTTCTTACGGGCTACTTAGGTTTCATGCCTTTCGAAAGCAAAGAAAGTGTGTTCATTGGCGACCCTAGGATCACTGTTCGCTCAAGATGAGATATTTCCACATGTACAGAGCAGGGTTTACAATACACTGTTAAATTAGATTTGTGGCCTTGTTTTTACGTCCTGATAGCTTTTATAAGCTGTAGTATTGAACTCAACTGCCTGTTACCCCACATAGAGGAGTTTAGGCCGCTCACCAGCATTCACCATCCAACTCTGTCTCAGGCAATGCTTTCCAGTTCTTCCCAGTTGTTATTCATCCTTTTAATGTCTGCTTCCAATTCTCGGCACAGTATGTCCATTGGTCTTCCTCCTTTCCTTTTCCCTTCAGGATTCCAAGTTAGCGCTTGCCTCATGATGCAGTAATGTGTGTCCTATCCATCTCCAACGTCTTTTCCTGATTTCCTATCCAGTTGGAAACTGGTTTGTTCTCTGTCATAGTGAGTTATTACCGATAGTTTCTGGCCAACGGACACTGAGTATATTGTGTAGACAACGTTTTTGATGATGGTTGTGGTAGTTCTTCAAGTTTCAGCTCTATTCAGTGGAAGTACCTTGACGTTCGTATTGAAAATTCTAACTTAGATATTGACTGACAGTTGTTTTGAGTTCCATCTGTTCTTCAGTTGTAGAAATACTGTCTTTACTCTACATCAGGTCCTCTTTAGTTGTTGATGCAGACCGAGTGCGTGAAAGTTTCCACGTTTTCCAGATTTTCTCCAAGTGTGATGGGGTTGGTGTCCTCCACGCTGTATCTGAGGCTGTTGCGTTTTCGTTTGTGTATGTTGAGGCCTACTGCCTCAGAGGCTTCTGTTACACTAGTTGTCTTCATCTGCATTCGTTAGTATGTATGGGATGGAAGGGCTAGGTCATCTGCCGAATAGAATTCGTTTAGTTGCATGCAAGCTGTTCATTGTATTTTGTGCCTAATCTCAGACGTGGATTTCTTCATAATCCAATCAACCACCAAGAGAAAGGGCGAGAGTAAGCAGCCTTGTTTGACATCAGTCCTCACTTGGAATGAATCTGTCAGCTGTTCTCCATGCACGACTTTGCAGTGTAATCCGTCTCATGGGTTCCATATAATGTCGATGATCTCAAGTACACTATGGTGTCGAAGAAGGTTTCATAAGATCCTTCTATCCAGTTTGTTCAACGGTTTCACATAGTCACGGGATTTGATGTATCGTGATAAATTCCATTCAATTGATTGCTCAACAATCATCCATGGTGTCGAGATTTAGTTTGTTCACAAACGATCCTTACGGAATCCGGTCTATTGATCTCAAACTTGGGCGTCTAATGAACCTTTCTTCCAGTTTAGCAATAAGTTGTAATAGCTTGATAAATACAGTGATCTTGAATGCTGTTAGAGGTATGATTTCGGTTTTCATTTCCTGGTTGCCCATACCGTGGGTGGGTTCTTGTAGAGGTATCTGAAAAAGAAATTGGGTTAGAGGTAGTCTTAGTGACCTAAGAGTGACAGTAGTACTAAAGAGAGAACTGCTTGAGGTTGGTTACACATAACCTTTCTGTGAGTAATTTTCGTGTTAGCTTCGTACTTGTTGAGACCTTACCGTGGGATAAGGTGAGGTGTGCATTTTTAGGGTTGACATTTCCTAACCCCATTCTTCTTTGTGGGAAGGCGGCATCGTTGTTATGCTGGTTGTCTGAAGTTAACACTTTACTGTCGTCACATCTCTGTACAGTCAGAAGTATGACTCCGACCTCAGACCTTGGGTTTGCTGCTTTTAGTCTTAGCGCTCTTCAACTGACCTGTATGGCATGGTAGGGCCTTGAGGAACAATTGTTTCAGCCAGTATAGCTCGATTGGTTCATCGCGATAGGCAAGTCCGACCACCACGTCAAGGTGTCATCAACGGTTTAATAGAAAACCAAGGAGTATTCAAATTTATCTCTTCACCAAACCTTAAAAGATTGAAACCCGTCCTTAATTGAATTCTAGAATCTTCTTCGCATATCATTTGAATTAGTTTTATATCATAAGTATGTTGTATCATGTCGTTCTTCATAAGTGCTTCCCTCGAACTTGGTATCTGAAACTAGAGTGTACTTAGTGTGTTTGATCTCTTAATTTGCTAAATGCTTTGTAAAAGTGTCCACAATATATATCCCTATAACATTCAATTGAGTAGTAACGTCAATTAGATTTTACTGTCTACGTGTTAATGATGCCGAATAATGGTCTACTCAAGAGCAGTTACTGTTGTTGATTTAGTTTTACTGTGATAGGTGTTTGATAGTGAACCTTAGATTATAGATATGGTCAGGTAGATTTGCTTCAGCCGGCTAGTATCCATAATGATACTATCATCTCATGTTGTAAAATACATCTTGTGAAAACGTATTAGAGGCGCTAAGTCTTTCTCGACAACACTGAGTTTCATAAAAAAGCTAGCACTTTTTCTAAACTTATGCGGGATGCTTGGAATGAACATATATGTTATTGGAAGTAGTTTTCTGTGAAAAACGTAATCTTTCATAGTTCAAACAGCCGAGAACCATTAATTTGAACTATTGCACCAGGATGTAAAGACCATTTTCTGCTCCGAAATGGCCTTTCATGTATCCTTTGGATGAAGTTTAAGTTAAATGATAGGTTGCATTATTAAAATCAACTATGGATAACATCGTAAACTATAATGAAAATATGTCATAGTTACTCTAAAGTGAGTGGTGAGTCGTTCATACTTCCGGTGTAGTGGGTTTAGAGTAGTTTGACAGCCCCTTAACGATTTGAGAAAATAGCTAGAACTTACGTGCGAAATGGTGGCTTATTAGTTAAGCGATTCGATTTTCATCTACTAATACGTTCAAACTCTACTCCATCTAAGCTCATGCAACTATATAGTATCACTAATTGTCGTACAATAATTTTTGTTCAAAAATAAGTACACGAATGTGTATCTAGTACATGATTAATGTTAAATTACACTTAATAAGCACTTGTTATATGTTCGGAAACATTATTTTTAAGATAATATTGTATAGTCAACTAATCTGTTCTTTGTTCTTACCTTCCTGTGCATAATCAAAGGAAATAAAGTTGATTCTAACCCTGTAACTCTGTATTTGGCATTCTTACCAGATCTGTCTTATTGGTAATCCTAACAGCTTAGTCACCTGTTCCTTCTTACTGTTTCTAGGAGAAATCATGAGCAATTTACTTAGCTGCTGGTAAACAAAGCGATAATCCCCTCCCTCAGCATACTCACTGCTTATATGTGAGTAGTTTTTTGTGTTATGGGTGAAGGTATTTATTTCACGAGTTCTAACTTTGTCAAATAAATTATGGTTTTACTTTGTGTTATTTTGATCGTAATAAGTTCAAATACCAAAGTGATCTGGGATATAGATAAATTTAGTTTCTTATCACAATACTTATCAATGGCGATTTGGATTCTTTGACTCACTCTGACAATCAACATTTGAAGTGGTCAACTAAGCATTTGACACTTAACTTCTGAGTCATAGTTTTAAATACTACTTCAATGATAATATTTTCAGTCAGCTACAATGTAGGACTAGGCACATCTGTTCATCAGTCCAAGTTGCCATACCTCATTAGCACAGCAAGATGAACACCGAGTTCATTGAAGTAGTTAATTAAGTGGTAGTAATATATAAAAGGAGGTTTGTGTATAAGGATGTAACACAGGAAGAAAGAATTAGTTGGTAGAAATAAAGATATGAAGCGATTTTAATCTCTTAGTTTAAGGGAAGGCAGAGAGTGTATACACCGACGCCATTGTGATCGATTCTGAGCCATGTCACCTAGAGTCTCTAACCATTGGTTACGATAGTGACGCGGACCCCAACCAAGTAGTCCGCATCTAACAACATGGCTCAGATCAGAAGTTAGCGACTTCAAACACTGATGCGACGTTTTGATTTGACTGCCTCTAACTTTATTCCACCCGTCTCCAACACTATCCAGCATTGCGCGTCGTGGTAATCGGTGTTCAGGCATACGTAACACGTGGCTCGACCATCTGAGTCGGTGAAGATTTACAACCTCACCACCTGATTTACCATCATTCCCTAATACTCTGTGTCTAACCCCATTATTACTTACCCAGTGATCCCAGCAGATGCGAGCAATATTTTAGTGCTTCAGTAGTAATACCAGCTCTCGCACGGTAGGTGTGATTCAGTTTGGCAAATAAAAATGTTTGTTGTCATCCGGTCACGTTGAATTTAAAACTGACTACAAATAATCATTATTCTATTAACAGGACTACCAGGTTCCTAGTTTTCTGAATATTATATGGACAAATCATCATAATTGTGTGAGTATTAGGTTCAAAGGAAACTTTTTTCTGCTTGCAATATTTTTCATTTTCAGATAACTTTGTAATTATGAGTATACCAGTTATTCTTTGTTTCTACATATGTTCTGTTCGTTTTATATAGCTTTAACTTAACTGGTTAATCCAAATATCTACCTTATTTGATGTTGCAAACGAGTCGATTTTCTTGTTGATAATGTTAGTAAAACTTATTCTAAGTCATTATAGATGTATTATGATCTTAAACACACCTTGCAAAAGTTCTAGAAATATTCAGATCATCTAACTAGATTTTATTGGGGAGGCTTCGAACTTCTGACTGGCTAACTGATAGTTGAATGTTTAAGCATGTAGCAAAAATATCATTAGTTAGTCAGAAAGCGAGACTGTCAATTTTCGTGCACACATCTAATCACGTTACAACAGTTATTATTATTATTATTATTATTATTATTATTATTATTATTATTATTATTATTATTATTATTATTAGCTTTATTCAATATTGTATTTTTGGTACAATATAGAATTCTCAGCCTAAAGTGTTTCAACAAGTTTTCGTTTCTTTCTTCTTGGTCGGTTCTGGCGATAGATATTGAGTGATCGCCAGTTAGATGTTAACAGTTCACTAAATGAACATCTGAATAATGTACATTCTTTTCGTTGTATATTGCCACCAACCACATTGCCTCTTATTGAGTTTTTTGTAACTTTGATAACGAAAGTTTGTGCACTTCTCAGAAACGCAGCAGAATAGGTTATGCGATTAATAAACATAATGATATATTAAAAAAGAAAAGTAACTTGTTGAAACATCTAGATGGCAGGAACAGGTAGCCCAGATGCTCAAGCGGACCGCCCGTGAAACTGGAGTTAATTAGAAGGAAGGCATAATTATATATCCCTTTACTAGTTTTTACTTATCATCAAATGGTATTTTCAATCTCGGAAAAAACTGATATCTTTGAGACTGCGTCACTTAAATTTTGAGGCTTAGTTATTCAGAGCATGAATGATCAATACGGTGCTCATCCCCATAATAGCAATGTTTATTGATGAAGTAGTTCGTCGTGTAATTGATAAAATAATCTAGCAATATCTATTTCAATGGCTTTCTGGAATGATTTTATACAAATTACCTTTAAATTTAGCTCTCAAAGGCAAGTAAATGGTCAGTTGCGAAATGGATGTTCATTTTCAATTTATACGATCTTCTCAATACATTTGGGGATATTAGATCCTCAAATACAACTTATTAGAGAAAAATCTCAAACTGTACTTATTGACTTGGGCTGATTTTTGTTCATTCGTATTTCACTGTAGTTTCATTATATCAATCAATTTAGTGAATTTTTTGTCCGAGTGACCTTTATTCAGTTTTGAAAATCCTGTAATTAATATTCATTTGATGTAATGGGGATATAATTGAATGATCTGAATTGTGGATTAATCTTCTATAGTCTCCTTTCACTAATTACCGAAATTAGCGTATTGGACTAGAAGAGAAGAGAGCTTTATTATCGTGGTATCAAAGTCCAGTTATCACTGCTATCGACTTGGTTTATTGGATACTTGTATACTTAAAGTCCCCATATTTTTTTCTGTTGAAAGAAGGCAAAATCTAAAATACCTGAATTGATAAACAGCATTTTTGACAACAAGTTTACCAGAGAAGAAGTGGAAATTAAGTTTTCATCCTTGGATGTTTACATCGATTTATAAGATTATAGCTATGTTAGAAGAGGTCGAGTAATTTTTTCTTGTACAGATAGTCACCCTTTCTATATGTGTATGCAAGAGACTTCAAAAATATTAAAAAAAACCTAAATACACTGCGTTTGATGAATTTCTATTCATTTTGTAGTTGATTCTAATGAATTTATTCTTCTTTTTCACCTTTCAATTTGTGAGCATATTACTTATTAGTCATAAGTAGTAAAACGGGAAATACTAAATATTGTTATAAAAGTTCTGGCAAGACAGATCAATTTGTAGTTTGTATCATGTGGGTCCAATCTTCATGGTCTACATTACTGAACAGTTAGACAAATTTACAGTGCTTCCTAGTCCAATGGTTATTTAGTTGGAGGCAATCTGTTGCGTTAGCTACAAACGACGTTTTAAACTTGACACGTACATTATTGAAATCGGCCGTATAAAATCATTTCCCTTTCATAATCTGCAACTAAATACATTGTGAATCTTCCCACTAAAACGCTGCAATTCACTTTTAAATTTAATGCAATGATAATGTCAAATCTACTTTATAGTACCAGTTATTATAATCTATTGACTGGTATCTCAAAACAATGTCATGTGACAACAATCCTACAAATACTTTTGTTGGTTATTCAACAAGGTATTCTTCATTCTTCTAAAACATTCCTCATAAAGTCGTGAGGGTCCACTTCTGAAGAACCTCAAATTAGTGTGAAACTAATGCAAATTACTTCCTACTTCCAAATAACCTATGAGAAAAATCATTCTTAAGTCGTATAACCCAACTTAATTAAATCAGTACTTATAAATTATTTGGAAATGAGTTATTAGCAATGAAAGTCGAAATGAAGTTCCATATTTGGTTTAAGAAGTCAAGACAAAAATACTAATAATATCTCTTTGTGTAACACAAGAATTCATATTTCGTAGCATGATGTAAAACATCTAACTGACTTTCATTCATATAAATTAAACGGAATTCTATGCTTAAATTAAGTAAGAAACCTCATTTTCACCGAGAACAATGATTCAAATGTACAACTGGATACTGTTTGTAATCTAACTGCTAAACTCATATAATCCTAGTCAAGAAAATTACACCGACAAAACAGAAGTAGACCGATGCGTCCAGTGCGCATTATAGAGTGAAATCAATTATCCATTTATTACAAACAGTGATAATAAAACTCATAAGACAACCATATATAACATTTCCGTTGTAGTATTATTTCTCTCGTTAGCCCTCACTCATCATAAAAGTTTGAATAACTGATAGGGTTATACTGTAAAAAACATTATCCGTTTGTAGTGACTTTGCTTCGTTAATCGATCACCTCGATTACCGTTATAATATAAATCTCAACGATGATGAAAATCAAAAGGCAATGAGAAGCGGCAACAACAGTTTATTAGGGGATAGTGCAGATCACAAAGCTATAAGCAAATCAAGCGAATTTGAAGCGCAGGGGCAAATAAATATATACGAGCAAATACAGAAGCGAATTTATAGTCAAATTGTTGGGGTGGTCCAGAAAACTTCCCTCAAAAGACAAGAAAGGATCAGGAAAACACTAAGAAGCATTTTATCTAATCAGTGTTCATTTGAAGTTTAGCCAAAAACATTAAAAAAGTGAAAAGTCACATGTAAAGTTTCTGATTGGCTGATTACTATACTGCTATTATGTTCAGTAGCATTCCAGACTTTTCAGTAAACCCATGGACATCTAAAATATTATAAAAACCATATATTTTCTGTGCTAAAACGAACCTTTGGAGTAAAGTGCTTCTCACATATTTTGCGTCTTTTCTCGTGTTCAGGTCGCTGTATAATTCCAGCTTGGGGGGTTACAAGAATAGCTTTGGAACCGATAATAGCGTTCAATTAGCAAGACTTATCACAAATCGAATACGGCATAGCTAGGCAAAGGCTAATGATAGGATTTGAGTACATATATACATTGGGAGGAGGATAACTCATCAAGTGATATTTAAGTAATCAACATTTTAGCTAGAGTCTGTCATGTGTTTTAGTGATCATAATGGTGCAAAGAAATATGCGAATTATTCCTGTTCAAATAACATTGTCTATTAAGTAAGTTAATAGGCGAGCTTAACGATAATAGAAATTGGTTGTAGGATAATTACTATCCATTCATTCACAAATTCAAATATCTTTTTCCTAATTTATATCTAAAAGATATAAACATAACTTCAGAAATATTTTAACTGATATAATTTGCTAATTTTAATAGTTGAGATCATGAGTCAATTGAAACTAGACAACCATGGAAAACCTGGAAGCACTGGACGGCCATTTTCTCCTATTGTGGGACTCCTCAGAAGTGTGCATCCACGATTCCGTTTCGCGAGACTCCAACCCAGGATATATCAGTCTCGCGCGCGAACGCTTGACCACTAGAAAACTGAACTGGCCGGTATCCAATGGTGTTAATGTCTAACTTTAACTAATCCACGAAATTGTGCGACATATCCACCATTGTCTTCAGTGAATTACTATCTCACAACTGATCCGATTGAACTCCACTGGTTACTACTTCTCAATAGAACTTCAAGAAATACTTTTTGATTAATATCAGAAACGGCCATCCAATGCTTCCAGGTTTTCCATGGTGGTCTTGCTTCAATTGACTCATGGTCTCAACTATTAAAATTACTATAATATCCCCTTATGATAATTTGCTTATATTTACATTATATACTTTATGAAATATTCATATTAAAATGATAATTAGTTAATGTTAATGATACACTATTCAATCAATTAAGTATTTTATAGATTATTGAAAATGTAGCCATTTTATTGTACAATTAATCCAAAATGCTTACTTTACAAAAACAACAAACAAACGTATGACAATGAACGCGGCTTATCATTAAAACAAACAAAAAAGAAGAAGAAATATTAACACTTTAAAAAAAATATATAACTTAATTATAAAATGAACGTAAACGTTTCATAGGTAACACCAACTTTTGTATCTATATATATGTTTGTGTGTATGTATTATCCACGTGTGTATATATATGTGTGTGTGTGAGTGAGTGTGTGTCAATTATGTGCTATTGCACAAATCAACACTTATTCATATACAAGCAGAAATCCATATATATATATATATATATATATATATCATGTAACCAATCTCATAGTTCAGATTTATTAACCAATATTAAAATGACCTTTGTAGTTTTTTTCTCTTTTCTGCACAGACCAAAAAATTAAAAAAAAATGTTTTCATTAAAAAGAATAGCGCATATACCTTACATATTTGTACACGTACATATGAATTCTTTAAAGAATAATTAAATTATACTATTGAAGTGTATGGATTAAGTGTAATATGTATATGTATATTATAATTGTGATAGGTGGATGGGATCATAGTAAACCTTCTTTATCTAACCATTGAAATTAATGAAAAAATAAAAAGAAAAAAGAAAGAAAAGAAAACTAATCAAACAATATGGATTTATATTTCGAATTCATTTTGTTGCTAAGGTCTAATATTCAAAGTTTTAACACTATTTATATCTATCTATATATATATAATCAATTTATTTAACCGAAGATAAAGTTACGTAATATGGTATAATAGAAAGAAATCATTTACTAATCATTTAAATTATAATATTCTATATCAAATGTATCATAATTTTATTCAATTTAATATTGTAACTAACAAAATTATCATTATTATTATTACTTTCTATTTATTATTTACAAGATCAACATTATTACTGAATTCATTCAATTTTAATAAAAATCATTTTAAAAAACAAACATTTAATATTGAATTATGTCATCATTTAACATTGAATACATTATCACATTATTTAAATATTCAATTATTATCTATTACAGAAATATATAAATATATACCAAAAATAAGTATTATCATTATTGCATATAATGAAAATCCAATTATTATAAAAAATACATTACAAAGTATATTAATGAATACAACATTATTATTATTCAATAATAATATAAAAGAAATTATATTAATTGATGATTATAGTAATCCACCTATAGATGATGAACAAATTAGAACATTAAACAAAATTGTAAGTTATCAATAAATTGATAGATAATCGATTATATAATTGATTTATTTATATTATGTTGTTGTTGTTGTTGTTGTTGATAAATCAATATGTATATATCAGAAGGGGGGAGATTTTATTACTTTTAATGTATTATGAAAGTCTCAGAATAAGATGAAATGGTCGTCTAGTTGTTTCAGGTTTTTCATGGTAATCTAACTTCAATTGATTTATGATCTTGTAGTGTCGGTTATTATGTTAAGCCTATATACCTTATTCTAGCTTTCGAATAGCCCATTCTATTCATTCTAATTGAGTCATATTTTCACCTTGTTAATTATTCGTTTATCAATCTTGACTGTTTTTATATGAGCGCGTAGGTGTTTGTACATTTCTTATCTCATTACTCATCATCACATGCCTGTAACTTACTTTTGTGTAACTATAAATATTAATTAACGCTTGGTTAAATGGGAGTTGGTTTACCCGACATCTCTACTGCGCGTCGTTTCCATTATCTCTATTCCATTCGCTTCATATACAAAATATATGTATTCAAAAATCCATTCTCGTTATTTGACTTATTTAATTCCGCTAATGACGAACGTGATTTAAGTCGATGATTATATATAACAAATATTCATACAATCTCCTTGGAGTCAGATCTAGGGCCACTAAGGTAGAGAGCCCGTCAACAAACATCGTTCGATCTAAATGACGACAAAATAACGGGCCTCCACAAAAATCTCAATAATTGAATATATATATTTTGATAATGTAATATATAGAAAACGAAGATTATCAGAACTATGTAATGATATATTGGCGCAATACATTTCGAACAATCTGATCTCAGACTATATACTTGTTAAGAACATTCATATATATAAAACGATAAAAGGTTAACTAGACTAAAAATGGATGATAAGAAGAGACACATTATTATTATTACTCTTATTATTATTATTATCCTTGTCTTTTCTTACTCTCATTTCTAGTCTAGTTGACCATTTACTTTCTATATATAAATGTTCTTAACAAGTATGTAATGTATGATCAGATTGTTCCAAGTGTATTGCGCTAATATATCATCACATAGTTCTGATAATCTGTTAATTGTCAAACAATCTACAATAAAAAAAGTCATTCATTAAGATTTGTAGGAAAATGGTTTGAATTTATAACCTTCGAAAATGTTTAAATGTATATAAAATACGAACTATTTATAGTTTACTGACAACAGTTGTCACTTTTATCACTAATGTTTGTTCATTTATTGATTCAAATATTATATTAGTGGTTTTATTTAAGGAATGCTATAAATCTCTAAGATGTCTATAACATTGTATTATGTACACTAAACATATATCTCTCTGTCTATGTAGATAACATTATTGTATCAAGGTAAAATACATTAAATCAAACATGGCAATATACAATCAAATAAAATGATAACAACAGTATAAATCATGTCGCATATAAAGGAAGAAAGAAATTTTTCTTGTTGTTGAAAAAAACCCCTCACCTCTTCGACATTCAATGAATGATTAGAAATTATTGTACATACGCTGTGTTAATTTATTTTAGTATCTATCAGCTAAGATATTTATGTTTTCCAATTTATCCATAATGATGTCTTATTAGTAAATTGATAACTGTGCAGTATAGTGATCACAATTGATTGATCACTGGGTGGCGATCAATGTCATGCTTGTCTAGTCCTTATTAGTGCAGATCGAATGCTATCGATCATGTTGCAATGTGGCCACCAGTCTAAGTGACTCGACACTATGGGCACTATGCATTGAGATTTAGATGTTGGTTGGATGTAGTCAACAGGAAACCCTGGACCCGGGTTTCGTGCTACTTGACAGTCGTCAGCAAGGTGTACCTGTAATCTTGAGGGAATTGATGCTCCCTGGCGAATTCGATCTCGTGCCACCCAGCTTTACAGTCTGAGACGTTACCACTGAGCTATCCGAGCCGTGACTAACCTCCTGTAGGACTGAGATGTAATTACAATTGATTGATCACTGGGTGGTGATCAATGTCATGCTTGTCTAGTATAATGATCAAACTTGCTAAAACTAACTTACACGAGCTGGTGTTGTATACAAGCTAGATGATTTTCCTTAAATGTGTTTTGAATAGTTAAACTTAATGGCTTAAATCGGAGCTAACTGGAATAACTTTTTAAAAAAAACACCGATGTTTTTGGTTCAAACATGGTTTATCACGATACAAAAATTCGGTACTCTAGTTCTTTTGTCCTACATAAGTTGCATTTTTCTGTCTAAGTTACATCAGAATTTTGATCGGTTACTGGTCTTGTTTTCTGCTGGCTTAACTACAGGAATCATACAGATAATTGTGTTTCGTTTTCATTAAAATCATTAACTGCTTTATGCTCAGTTTTGTTTATGCATGAAACGTATCCATTGAACTAGTTTTTCAAATAAGTCTTTATGTTTTGCGATAATCAGTTATTGATTAACAGTTAATGTCATGTTGTTTATTTCTTAACTCTGGCTGACTTATGTCATTTGAGTTTTCATTGTAACCACTAAGCTCAATGATGTGGCTTCGTGGGACAAAATGCTAAGCTAATGGTTTCTTGATAATCCCATTCAACTATCGAATAAAAATTCTAAGTTAAAACACATATCAGTGTGAATAAGAGAGACAGATCAGTTGATTAATTGATTGATAATAACATGATCTAAAATAGCTTACAATTGCCGACCTAAGCATTACCACAGGTTTTCTTGTAAATCCAACCAGTATTTTTATCGTCACCCTTGTATGATAATATAATTTATTAGTGGTTTGTAAATCTTTTCTCGACTCACTGATCTAAAGGTTTCACGGAACATAAGGTTTCAGATTCATACAGAGGTCGGCGATGCTTACTTTTGTGAAGTCCTAGACAATAAAAGAAACAACGTTTACATTTGATATCAGTTTATGAAGAAAAAAACAATTTCATATTGGACAGATGTCAACTTTTACACCTACTTATTATTAAGTTATATATATTTGTAAAGTTTATATTCAACACAAGAATGAACTATGAGGATAAAATGATAGTTAAACTATCTTCAACAGATCATTGTTCATATCTTAGTTCACCGACTGCCATCTAGGTACTTTGTTTACGTTTGTTAATGTACATGAAATGAATGTAATCAATTACCAGTTGGTGGATAAATGTATGTGGTCATTCAAAATCAGTTATTAACAAAATAATTCAACTAAGCAACGCTAACATAATGTATTTCATTACAGTAATTAACTATAAAATATTATACTTGGTTTATTCTATCAAGAATTAAGTTTATAAAAACTGAGAGCTGCTCACACTGCCTAGACAACACAAAGTTAACGAAATATACAAAAAGGGTTAACCATTGAAATTGGAATCGATTGAAGAAGTTATGCTTACGTGATTGTAATTTATTTTCTCTATTTGATCTACAATTATCTTGTTTAGAACCTTCAAGAATAAACCTTTATATTCATTTCTGATTACTCAAATAATTAATCAGTGATTTTATGTATTAATATGATATCTGATTACCTATGTTCTATCGGGAGTAACAAGCGTAATCTAAGCTAATGATATCTATGGTTGTAAGGGATGAAAAACTAATTAATATTCAGTAGGGGTTTTCTGGAGATTGTAGTAATTTTAATAGTTGAGATCATGAGTCCATTGAAGCTAGACCATCATTGAAAATCTGGAATCACTAGACGACCGTTTCGACATACTAAATTTACTGAATGTTTAATTCTCTATTTATATTATTATCTACTAAGCAATAATTCACACAACATATCATTTCCAATTACATTTATTGTCTTACATTGTCATTCAAAAGGATATATTACCAAAGTTATAAGTGTTATTGATCAATTGTTCACTCTTTTTCACTGCCATTTACTTGACAACTATCAGTGAATGTAAAAAAGGCAGTTATTTTCAATTGATTATATTATTATCCTACTGAATTATTCAGCCATTAGTGTTTTAGATTGAGATCATTCTCAATGTTTTGAATCTTTAACAAATGTGTTGTATCTAGTACTTTCGTTTATTTTTCCGATGGTTTAGTGGGCAAGTCATTTATACTGGAATATGATCTTTATTTAAAGATAACATTTGAAATGAATGAAGTTTTTTTTCACAGGTTGAAATCATGAGTCAGTTCAAGCTAGACCACCATTGAAAACCTGGAAGCACTGGACGGCCGTTTCGTCCTAGTATGGGACTCCTCAGCAGTGCGCATCCACGACCCCGCACCACGCGGGATGTCAATGCACCATATGAAAGATAAAACATTTTATAAAAGTTAAGTATTGAAATGTAACCAATAATAGAAATTACTCTTTCATGTACAGAGTTTAATTATTCATTAAATGAATAGGAAAATAATCGAAAATGCTAGACACTATACATTTATTGAACATTGAATGTGTTACGGGAAAGCTCTGACTGTACGTTATTCATTACATAGATAATTTAATGATAGTGACACAAACGGGAACTTAGGCAAGAACAATCTAATACACCTGAACGCAAATAATTTATTTGTAAAATTTTCACCAATTGTCTTAAACTTTATTGTTTCTTCATCTTCACATCAATCACTCCATGTTCTTTTTCTCTTCGATCTTCCCAATCGGTGATACATACTACTTATGTTTATCGACATCAATAGCGCGCACCATAATAGTACTATTACATTAAATTATTAAATACTAGTTTACTCACATCTGACATTTGACAAGATGTATTATTCTTCATAAACAATTTTAAACAAGCTTTAATTTCTTATTTAAAATAAATGAGTTACTGAAATAGTTGAGATCATGAGTCAATTGATGCTAGGCTACCATGGAAAACCTGAAAGCACTGGAAGGCCGTTTTGTCCTATTGTGGAACTTTCCAGCAGTGGGGATCCAGTGCTTCCAAGATTTTCATGGTGATCTAGCTTCAAATAACTCATGATCTTACCTATTAA